CAGACTGAAGACCGGTGTTTTGCAGGCTGATACCTAATAACATCCTGGTGTTGGGAAGTCATACTATTTCTTTGACCAAACCTGTAGAACTTTAACAGCTTCCTATGTTAGCAAAGCTGAAAGCAGAACTCAAAGCTAACTAATTACAGCAGAAACTTTTCACTTCGCTAATCCAGCTAGGATTTGATTAACGTGCCTTTTAATGGTCAAAATGACAAGAGAGAATCCTGTTTTCAGGGCAAACTGACGAGGTACTGGCTGCAAAAGGAGGGCAAACAGATTCTCTTTTGTTGGTATGTTTTTACTGCTTCCTCTCTCAGTTTCTACATTCCCGTTTAGCACTCGCCACTGCCTACACAGCTTGTTCTCTAGAGACTGAGTTGTGCAACTGCATCAATACTGAATGTGAACAGCTACACCTAGCACAAGCAATTCGAGCGGTGAGCAAAGGTCCCCATGCTGGTCTGAAGTCAGATTTGCTACATCAGGGAGTCAATAAGCAGACTGCAGTCTTACTGCACTCCACTTACAAGAGGATGTGTAGTAACACCCTACTTTGGCAACGTAGCTCTTTCCAAATTTCACAGCAACAAATGCCACCCACACAGGAAAAGGCACTCGGATTTGACAGATTAGCCTGATGGAGAATCTACCTACAGAGTACAACACAAGCCAAGACTGCTTTCCTGTGACTCCAACGCTAAATTAACAATTCCAGACACTGAGGTACAGGACAGGATCACTTACTTTAGAGCAATGCCTGCAAGCGAAGCTTTCTAGCTTTTGTATTTCTTCAGGTAACTCTTGAGGAAGAGTTTGGAAGGACCTCCTCAGTGGGCAAGGAGCAGGGCTGGGCCTGCCTGACCCACACTGACTGGGCTGCAGAGGTAACCACTACAGTTCCTTGCACTCTGCTGCAGTTAGATCGTACCAGAAACCTCAGTGAATCCAAAATTCCCCAAGATGCTCACTAGCAATCACTGCCTATACAAGTAAATGTGTCCCTGCCATCTTTGGGGATGATCACGAGGTGTATTACTGCAAAACTTCCTGAACTTCCATATGTAGGAATCTGATTGCCAATCACAGTGAATTCAACTTGACAGCTGAATCCAGGGCTTCAATCTGTTTCATAAACTTCATTAAAGGCGTGTTGCAACACCAGAACCATTCTGTTTTCCTGTTTAAACAAATCCAAACCATTTCTCCACATCAGCTTTCAAGAAAGTCACTGAAATCTATTATTGGGCTGCTTCTGAGGCAGCCTGTTTTCACAAAATGCTGTCAGCTACATGCTAAAGCTGCACATCTTTTAGAAAAGACTGCATTTATCCTGTAAGCTTCACAGAAATTATCAGCTGGTATACTGCATATAATAACCTGAAATTTCTCCATGAAAATAATCCAATAACTTCCCTATTGCTTCCCATAGGAAAACTCCTGTCTAGTAGGATATGCACCATTAACTTTCACCATCTGTAATGTGATACAATCACTGAATTCCTTGCTATCACTGTCAACTGATAACAGTTTTCAAAAGAATGCTTACCAGGTTCTCCACAAAACCTTTCACGACTGAGGTCAGCATAGATTAAAAGTTTTGGAACTAAAATCACAGCAGACAAGGTGTTCTCAATTAACCAATTAACCAAGGTGTTCTCAATTAACCAGTCCCAATATTCACATCCTGAGGCCAGTGACAGCTTTTCTACAAATCCACTCAACAGGGCTTGTGATCCTACTGTGTGTTGCTTAATGTACACTGGCTGTGAAATCCTCAGCCCTATGTGCAGAGTTCTACGGCTGTGCAATCTCTCTGTTAAGCAGCTCATTTGATTATAATAGAAAAAGCTTAATAGAGTTAAGGGCAGAACCACGTCAAAGTCAGGAACCAAGTTCCCTGCAAGCTGGAAGCAATGAAACTCAGATATAAAGACAGTTTTCTTTTTATCAACTTTACCCAAGGCTAATATCATCAGATAAAGAGAAGTCAGATACAATAAATAGCCTCTAGGTCAAAGGGAACCATTACAGCACCAGCAGCTTGAAAGAGACAGGACAGAGAAGGCACAACCAACAAGAACTTACAAGCTGTCTTGGAATACTTTCAAGTATGTCTGCAATGCAACATTATTAGGCCTAAGTGCAAAGTGAAGTAAACAGCCTTAAAAGATTTTCTCATAAGCTCCAGCCCCACCAGATCCATTCAAAGCTGAAATATTTCAGTGTAATTTTTACACCTTCTGGCAATTCAGCCTGCAAGCCCCATTTTGGACCTTCTGTAATAAAATGAGTAATTTTATTAAGGCATCTCTAGCTAAAAATCTAGGAAAGGACAATATTCTGATCAACAGGTATTCTTCTGAAATCAATAGGTTAGAATTCAACAGGCTTTATCACAGGTCTTTTTTTCTATATAGAAAACTAAAGAGCAGCCCTAACATATGGAATTTTATTACACACAAAGCACATTCTACAGCTAAGTACCTTTTGAACCAGTAGATTTCTTCCGGGTCTGCAATTCCATACTCTCTTAACTTCATCACCATCAGAGAGCTCTTCCTGATGGCTTGCTCATAGCGTTGGCTGCGGGAGAGGAAGTTCAAATCTTCGTGCTGGAAGTCAGGGTCATTAATCACTAAGGCCTCTGGAGACAGACAGAGGAAAACAAACTCAGTTATTACAGTCCTCGATAAACTGCACATGAAATGGTTCAGCTTTTCACTTGTTGTGCCTCAGGCTGCAGGTACCAAAATACTTGAAACCCTGAGTTAAAAGGTCATGAAATTGGAAAGAATTCACAAAGCTCTCAGAGCATTTTGGGCAGCGGGACACAGAGTATGGCGCTCGCCATAAGCCAAATTTTAAACAGGGCACGTTCTGGACACGACAGGAGATTCACTCAGTGATGTGAGACCAGCAGGGCACCCTCCCACGGCCCGGCACTGCAGAATCAGATTGCCTCACGCACATCCAATCGCCACGGGCTCTTGGAAGGAAGGCACTGCTCTTGTTCCCCCTGCACTGACTGGGAATGGAGATACCTTGAGGCTACAGATTTTTGCCATCCCCTTTGGCACAGAAGTTGTGCAACAGCAGCCTGTGACAGTCACAGAATCACAGAAACACCAAGGTTGGAAAAGACCTACAGGATCGCCCTGTCCAACCATCCACCTATCGCCAGTAATTCTCACAAAACCACGTCCCTCAACACCAAATCCAAACATTCCTTGAACACTTCCAGGGTCGGTGACTCCATCACCTCCCTGTGCAGCCCATTGCACTGCCTGACCACAGAGAAGCAGTATTTCCTAACGTCCAGCCTAAATCTCCCCTGGTGCAGCTTGAAGCCATTCCCTCTGGTTCTTGTCCCACTCTGGCAGGGGCAGAGAAGGAAATGGGAGCATTTCAGAGGCGCCATATACCATGATTATGAGGGGAGAGAAGCAGGTTACAGCGTGCTGTTGGGTAACAGCTCAAGGGTGAGCCCATTGTGGCCTTCCAGTACTTGAAAGGAGCATTTGAACAGGAGGGGAACAGCCTTTTACATGGATTGATAGTGATAGGACAAAGGGAACTGCTTTTAAGCTGAGACAGGGGAGGTTTAGGTCAGCTATAAGGGGGAAGTTTTCCACACAGAGGGTGGTGACACACTGGAACAGGTTGCCCAAGGAGGTTGAACCCCTGGAGGCATTCAAGGCCAGGCTGGATGTGGCTCTGGGCAGCCTGGTCTGCTGGTTGGCGACCCTGCTCATAGCAGGGGGATGGAACCGGATGGTCACTGTTGTCCTTTGCAACCCAGGCCGTTCTGTGATTCTGTCAACAGTGCAGGACGAGAGCCAACACAGCCGCGGGAAGCCACCTCCCACCCGGTGAGAAGGGGAATTCATGGCGAACCAGGCCCCGTTCCAGGCTCACCCCAGTCCCGTGCAGGGCTCCCCGCCCCCATGGACACGCTGGGCCTGCGGACCCCTCCAGGCAGCCCGAGCCGCTCCTACGAGCCCCTCTCTCCCCTCCCCCTCCTCGCAGAGCCGGCCCGGACCCCTTTCCCCGCAGCCGGGCCGCCCTCACCGATCTCCTTTCGGCGCCGGGTTCGCTCAGCGCCTCCATCCAAGATGTGCGTGAGCAGCTCGGGCTGGAAGGTGGCAGCGGCGCGCTCCCTGCGCAGATCCGCGTTCATCATCGCGGCGGCTCCGTTCGGCCCCGTCCGTCCCCGACCTCCACCCGGCTCCGCGTGAAGCCCCGCCCCCTGACGTCACCGCCCGCGACGTGGCCATGCCCCCTTTCCCGGGCTGGGCGGGGCGGGGCGGGAGCGGCCGCGCGGTGAGTGTGTGCGCGCGGGGCTGCATTGCGTGCTGTGCCGCGTGCGCTGCGCCGCTCTTCGAGTCGTGCGTGCGGCCGGGAGGCGGCCGGCCGTGCTCTGAGCGCTCGTGCAGCCAGGCGAGCGTTGCACGCCGCTTTCAGTCGCGCGCCCGGCGTGCTGCAGCTGGGAGCGCGTGCGGCTGCATAAAACGCGTGCGGCTGCAGCTGGGTGTGCGGCGCGTGTGTGCTCGGTGTGCAAACAGCGTGTTGCATCTGGGGCTGGGCGTGCATTGCATCGTGCTTTGAATAGATGTGCTGCATGCTATGAGGAGCTGGGCGTGCATTGCATCGTGCTCTTAATGCGCATGCAACATGCATGCTAGGAGTGCATTAAACTCTGCATGCAGTTTTGCAGCTGTGTGTGCAGTGCACGTTGTGTGCACATTACGATCTGTACATGTGCATACAGCATGGTGCATCTCGGCTGGGCTTGCATGGAATCACACACACAGCATGCTTGCACCCGTGGCTGTGCCCGCCCCACATTGCATTAAATGCACACGGTGTGCTGCATCTGAAATTTGGCTTGTGAATTAAGTGTGCATTGAACTCTTGGTGTTTGAGGCTAAGCATGCATTACATGGTGCACTACATCTGTATGCAACAGGCTGGCTGTGCATTAAATAGCACATTGGATGTGCACATAACTGCTGCACCTGGGGCTAAGGATGCATTCAGTTGTGCATTAAATAGCAACACTGAGTGCACATAACATGCTGCACGTGCAGGCAGGCATTTCGTAATTGCTTTGTTGAATAATTGGTTAAATCTCCATGTAGCATATTGTATTTGGGACCGGGCAGGCACTAAATAGTGCATGAGATAGTGCACTAAGTGTGCGTGCAGTATGCTGTACTTGATGTTGTGCACGCATTAAGCAGTGCATTAAATAAATGCATGGCATGCTGAACCCAAGACCCTAGAAAGGAGAGAACGCAATGCCAAAAGGAACTACTGCAGGACACAGCCATGTACCTGGCCGCAGCTTTGGCTGGGCAAAGCTAAAGCCATGCTGAAGTTGCTTTGCATCCTGTTCCAGCTCACTCTGCGTGCTGTGGAGGATGCTCAGGGCTCAGTGCGAGCTCCTGCAGCCCTCTGCTTGGGGGACCTGGGCACAGGAGGAGTTTTGGGATGCTGTTACCCAGTTCTGGTTCAAGAACTGGGTAGCAGGAGCTCAGATCTGCGTTTGCAGAGCCAGTGGTGGTTGCGTGAGATGCTGCCAAGTGCTGGGGTGTACTACTTCCCATGGGAAATCAACAGCTCCATCCCAGAAGGGGAAGCACTGAGGACATTTGGCAGGTGAGGAGGGTATCGTGGGCTCCTTGCAGGCCGGATTGCTCCCCCACTGGTCCCCCTGTACCCTGGCTTTGTTTGCAATCTCAGCTGTGCACCTCCCAAATCCATTGCTCCCAGGCTAAGCTGCTATGACCTGGCCCGATCCGAAGCCACTCTCAGCACTCAGCATGGCTCAGCCCAGCACCACGTCCACATCGACACCACGCTGGTGGAACCATTTGAAGCCCAGCTGGGATCTCTCTACATGGTCCTGGGAGAGGCTGAACGCAGGGAAGGTAAATGCTGTCTCTGTTTGGCTGGATACACTAGATACTGAGTAAAGGAAGGTTGGCTTTAACCAGAAATGCTGCTGCACAGTCTCCATTCCTGTCCAGTGGGTTCAGGCACTTGATGCTGAGAGTCTGATGAACCTTTGGAGCCCTGGAAGCTGTTTTGCTACCCCTGCTCCAGCATCCATCTCCATACCATGGCTACAACTCTTATCAAATGAGCCCCCCTGCGAAGTGCTGGAAAATGCACAACACTGCTGGATTGCCCTCTGCTCGAGGAACCAGTGCCCTTATCTTGATGAAAACCCGGTGCTCTGGCACAGATTTCTTCAGAAGCCAGAAGTGCCTGAGCAGCACAGCTTATGAAACCAACGGTCAATTGCCTTCGCTCCGAGTGTGGCTGACTGCAGCAATACCGTGCTGGGAGCTGGCTGGGTTGGTCTTTGCCATCCTTGAAAGGCTTTAATTACACCCTGCCCTCAGAGATGGGGCGTGTGGAAAATGGGCAGGCTTTGTCACCCTGTTGTCACTCTGTTGTTATCCTGCTGGCCTTCCTGGGGTGCCCTGAGTGTTATTCCAGCTTTGCATGGGATTTCAGTTGGGCTGTGGGGCTATGAAGCAAATCCCAAATGTTGTCCTGGCCATACCTGATAACAAACACTCACATTTGTGCCCTTTAAACCCTCAGCAATGGGTGGAAAGCCACAGTGCATGTGGCATCTGGTGAGTCACCTGCTAAGCCTCTGCTGCAAAGCTCCTTTAGGAAGGCATGTTATTTTGGTTGTCACTGCCTAGGAGCAAGTTGACCTCATTTTGTAGGCATGAAAGGGCAGGAGGCTGAGAGGCTGTGTGCACAAGGCTGATTGTGTTCACAAGGCTTGGCCCCTAGTGCAGCACCTGAGTCCACCAATGAACTTCTGGTTCATTGAACCTGGCTCAACAGGCAGCGTTGAGCCTCTTTTATGCCCAGCTTTGTTGTCCCCTCTTCTTGCCTGCAGAGGTTGGCTTAAACCCAACCCTGATGCTTTTCAGATAGGAAAAGCCAAATCTGCTCAGTGCAGCCATGGGGTGGATGGATGCTGTTTGGTATCCTGGGCTCTGCCTTCACCTGGCAAAGGGAGCTCAGTGGCAATCATTGGCATTTGGCAGCTGACAAGGCAGAAGGAAGGAAGCACATCACGAATTAACCTGCTGCTTGTGGAGGCATGCAGCCAGAGCAGCGTCCTGCAAGGTCTCAGGCTATGGTTATTTGGCCACCTGGAAGTGTACATTGCCAGAAAGGGAGCTTTCTGTGTGCCGCTTCTACTTCTCTTTCTCTTCCTACAGAAGCTTCCTCTATATTTCCAGGTGAGAGTCCTGTGATAAAAGCCCGAATATTGACCTGTGTGGAAGGGATGAACATGCCTCTGCTGGAACAAGCCATCCAGGAGCAGAGAAAGTACTTCCAGGAGAGGCAGCAGCAGATGGAATCTGGCACGTCCTGACAGCAGCTCTGACCCCAGCCTGTGCTGGTCCCCACCACGGCCGTCTGGCAGCTGCCATCTGTAGAAAACATTTGGAAAGTGTATTTAGAAGGTGGGTTTGAAACATTGCTGCTTTTTGCCATGGCAAAGAGAGAAGTCACTAAATAGGAAAGTACATGAAGATTGAACCAGTACGTAAATGTGGAGCTGCCAGTTTGTGCTAGTTGTCACCATGGAAAATGACTCTGGGAAGCAAATTTGTTGTTTAAGAGAGTGGTTAAGGAAAAAGGGTGCTTGAGTTAACAGCAGTTCTTTTGTAATGCAGGGCTTGGAGAGGTCAGTAAAAGGCAAAGTCTCTGAACCTCTAGTTAAACATCTGCACACATCCGCATGTGCTGCCAACATCCTGCAAATGAGAGGTAAAGGGCAGCAGTGCAAAGTCTGTTAGCCTGCATGGCTATGGGTCCACGAGTGCACTGTTGGGTTGTGGTGACTCGGCTGCCACACAGGAGCATTCGTGGAAAAACACTCAGGTCTGGACTGAACAGCAAAGGAACAAAGAGAGCAAGGAGCCTCTACTTCACTGGGACTGCTTCTTAGAGGGGTCAGGAGCCTGCATCCAAGATGCATGGTTGACTTTTGCTCTAAATTAAATATTTGCACTGCCCTGACAACTGTCACTTGACTTTCTTCCTTGACACATCTAAGTTTAGGAGACCTTAAATCATTATTTTTGGAAGCATCTGAAGCTTTTGACTGATATTTTCCTAAATAAAGACAGAAAGAGAATGTGGTTTGCCTTTTATTGATTAAAAACCTTTCTTGCTAAGGCATGTGCATTAGGCCCTGCAGAAACACTGTGGGTGATGTAAGAAGACACAGCAAACTGCCCTTTTCCTTCTCCTCCTAAGGTCTGGGTGTGTAAGGAACTGCTTGGCTTCGATAAAGTTGCAAGAAGAGGAGATGAAATTACATCAGAGCCAGCCTGGCTTAAGAACATGGTGCCAGGCCCAGCAGGATTAAACTGTCAATAACATGACAAAATGGCTAATGTGAGATGAGAATAAAATTATAGCGTGACAGACTTTTTTGTGCAACAGAAATTGAGGGATCTGGGGTGAGGTTTGTCTGCAATTCTCTGTAACTCAGCCACCTGCAGCCTTTTCTGTTTTTTTGCTCAGATTCTCTGCTGAAACGTTCGGAAATCATGGACTGAAACCATCCAGTGAACAGAAACAGAGCAAAACGGCACCAGATATTGCCATAGGCTTGATTCACAATCCTGAGGTTGCTCAGTAATTGCAGTATTTGTGATAATCTTTGATCATAGTTGAGACTTGTGTTTTGCTCACGCGGTTACCAAGCTCTGAAAGCTCTATCTCTGCACACATTAGCAGTTCAGCCCAAGTCCAAAACCATTATCTCGAGAAGCAAGATTTTGTCCTGGTTTTATAAGTCAACTGTTCGCATGTCATGACGTGTTTATATTTATATCTCATCTGTTTATTCTCCTGCCTTTCCCCCTGGGCTTAAATTTTAGCCAAATGGCCATGTTTACCAGATAATTGCGAGTATCCAAGCTACCGCGTTCCTGTAAGTTCTACAGGAAGGGGAAAAAAAAAGGGGGAAAAAAAAGGTAGAGCAAATTTGGCAGTGCTTTCAGATGAAGATCCAAACAAACTCAACCTTTCCAACCCAGTGGAGAACTCACGCAGAAGCCTTGGACACACAGATCCACATTTATCTGAGCTCTGCCACCTACTTTGATTCTTCTGTGCCAGCAACATCAGGATTCATTTTAAAACAGTTTGAGCTGGTGGCTTAGGATGCCCTAAAACAGGCTATTTAGATCACACAGAAGTGCCATGGAACCCCGCATTCAGTGGGCTGCCATGTCCTGCGCCCAGCCCAAGACCCAGGTCTCTGTAGCTCCACCTTTTGTTGTGCCACCACGTGTAATAAGCCTTTAACCTGCCAGCTAGCGAGTCAATTATTAATTCCCCCACCAAGGACATCTTCCAAAGGGCTGACCAAGCAGCACAGCCCTTAGTGGGGAGGCTCACGGGACAGTTGCGCAAGACAAATTACACACCACATCCCCTTCACACCAGGCACAAACAGAACCAAGCATTGGCCCTGTGTAACCTTTCCCCGAGCGGCTCTTTGGGTGCATTCTATGCCATTTCCGCTTTATCCGGTGCAACAGAACAAGCAGCCGGCCCCAGGTTGTCACTGTGGGGCTCTTTGGGTCTACACAGCTGCTCCGTAATCCAACAGCCCTCACCCACAGCTGAGCTCTGGGTCAGAGGAGTGGTGCAGAGAGCAAGCAGACGCTGTGCTGCGCTCCTGCACCTTTTCTCCTTTTGTTCTTTTCCTCCTTCCGTGTCAGCAGCCACAAGGCTGAGGCCATGCAGGCCTTCCAGCAGGTGTTCCAGAAGGTGGAGAAGATCGGGGAGGGCACCTATGGTGTGGTGTACAAGGCTCGCAACAAGCGCACGGGGCAGCTGGTGGCCCTCAAGAAGATCCGCTTGGACGCGTGAGTGGGGCCATGTCCTCCCCATGGGGACACCGCGGCCTAGCTCAGCCTGCTAGGGCCTCAGTGCTGCAAGGGCCCCGAGCACAGTGTGCAGAATGGCTTCAGAGGCTCTAAAAAGCCTGACACAAGGGGGAAAAAGTGTGTCTAGTGGCTAATGAGAGTGATGAGAGCACAGCCCCACAACCGCGGCTCAGGGCAGGGGAGGAAGCCGCCATTTTGGGATGGCGCCATTTTGGGGTGCCGCCATTTCAGGATGCCACCATTTTGGGGTGCCAACTGTCCCTCAGGAGTGCAGCACTGGGGCCTGGCAAGGCCGTGCACCGACTTCAGCCCCTTCGGAATGGGGACTGAATGTGTACAAGGTTAATCTACTCCTCTGGGCTGTTCAGACTCTGAGGAGTGTGGGTGCAGATTGATGCCCATAATGGTGGAACTGTCCCGTGCCCCCCCCCCCCATCGCGGCGGGGGTCACCGTCCCCATGGCTCTGCGTCCCCCCATGTCCAACCCAAGCCTGTGGTACCAAGTGTGAGACCCTCCCCTAGGCCCAGAATGGGGCACAGTGACAGGAAAAAGGGAGGTGGGATAATGCCAGGCTGTACGGTCTGGCTATGACATGGGGTGCTCTACAGCCCACTTCTGCCATAGGGAGACAGAGGGCATCCCCAGCACTGCCATCCGAGAAATCTCGCTGCTGAAGGAACTGAAGCATCCCAACATAGTCAGGTAAGAGCCACGTGAATCCTCCCCACCAGCTCCACATCCTGCTCATCACCACAGTCAGCTCCAGATCAATCTTTCACAGCACGTACAAAAAAAGCAAAAGTAAAATGGAAACAAACAAAATCAGGCTGATACAAGTCCTCCTGTACTGTATATCTGACCTTTTGCTCTGCCTTAGAGGGCTTTCAAAGCAGAGACACCTAAGGAGGAATGAGGGATGCTTGGAAGTTGGCAAAGGCCTGAACGTCATCCCAGGTGCTGTGACATCCCTGTGTAGCACCAATTCCCATGCAAAGGCATTGAAGGGGGTGCTTGCACTTCTCTTGCAGGCTCCTGGATGTTGTGCACAGCCAGAAGAAGCTGTATCTCATATTTGAGTATCTCAATCAGGACCTGAAGAAATACATAGACTCTACCCAAACTGGAGAGTTTCCTTTAAGCTTGGCCAAGGTACAGTGCTGGAAGGAGAGCTAATAGGTCTGCAATAGAGTGAGTCCTTGCTGCCTTCTGCTGGTCAGAGCCAGCACTGAGCTGCTCTTAGCCAGACTGCATTGGGGAGAGACTCATTCTCAGCTGCAGTCAGTCAGCCTTTCTGATCTAAAACTTTTCAGCTGGGAAAGCCTCCTGGTGCAATTGCTCAGTGCATTTGTTTCCCAGCTGTTTCCAGGCTCTCTCGCCCGTCTCATTTCTGAACAAACTGTTGATAGGACAATAGAGGGATCTACTGCTAATTGTTTTTCTAGACTAGTGGATGGGTGGAAGTGACTGCTGCTGCTTGGACTGGAGTGTCTCTGCCTCCATACAGCAGGAGCAGTTTGTGTGGATCTCTGGGTAGTGGCCTGCAAGCCTGGTGTTGCATAATTGTAAAGTCATATTCTTCATTAAAGTCTATAAGTGAACTCAAATGTGCTGATTCATGTAATCAGATCTTTGAAGTGGTTTAATTGCTGTGCTGCCTAAAATCTCTTCTTTCCTTAGAATTACCTTTTCCAGCTGCTGCAGGGTGTGAGCTTTTGCCACTCCCACAGAGTCATCCACAGGGACTTGAAGCCACAGAACTTGCTCATTAATGAAGCAGGAGTAATCAAACTGGCTGATTTTGGGCTGGCAAGAGCTTTTGGAGTTCCCCTGCGCACATACACTCATGAGGTACTGTTAAGACTCCCTGCCATCTGAGGTACACAAACTATAGTGGATGCATGACAGCACCACAGTGACACATCCATAGCTGACCTGCAGCTAAGGGTCACCTCGTGTCCCCACAAATTGTGCTGACCCCTTCCACCCCAGCCTGCCTGTAAACTGGTTTCTCGCTTTCTTTTCATAGGGTATATTTATTCCAGTGCCCCATTAAAAAATGAGCTGTTGATCCCAAATACGCTGTCAATAATTAAACACGGTCATAGCACACTCTGATTTGTACAGTCACTGTTACAACAGAGAAAAAAAGGATTCCATGCCTCTAGTTTCACTCAGGAAAACTAGACAGGGCTTGTTGTTGGTTCCTTACCAGGTGGTGACTTTGTGGTATCGAGCTCCTGAAATACTCCTGGGATGCAAATACTATTCAACAGCTGTGGACATGTGGAGCATCGGCTGCATCTTTGCCGAAATGGTAGCGTGGGTTTGAATGTGTCTTTAAACGAGGGGGGAGAGCCCAGCTGCAAGGGGAAGTGGAGAAGGAGGGGCAGGATGCAGAGTATCTGTGATGCTGATCTGTGGTCCCACCCCGTCCTGGGTGTGTTATGGAAACTCCACCCTGAGGGTGAGCTGATCCTCGTGCTGTCAGAAGGAGATCTGCTACCAGGAGGGAAGTGCTGGAAGGTAAAGCGGCCTCTGTAGTCTGGCTGCAGTGTCGGTACGTGACAGTGCCGTACTTCAGTCCTACAGCAGCAGCATTTTGATCCCGGGAGGAGCAGTCTGTTGCCGATGTCTCCCAGCAGGTTGCAGAGAACTAGCAGTTCAGAACAGGTCAGAGCATTGCTCTGTTTGGGTCTCCTACAGAACTACAGTCTAGTTCAAAGAGCTCAATATCCCTGCAGCAAGACAGCACTTCCCCTAGCTCCCAAAGCCCCTGAGCTGCTGAGCAGAACCTAAGCAAGCAACTGGTCTTTAAGAGAGGGTGGTAGGAAACTTGAGACAAAGAGGGTTAAAGGACTGATTGAAAGTGGGACAGCCTCAGGGGAGTCCTGGTCCATGGGAGGAGCTGGGGACAAGCACGCACCCTTCAGCTTTCCAGCTGTTGCCTGGCAGAACTGCCTTGGCTTGAGCAGTTTTTTGCATCTGCTGGAACAAAGGTTTGTTTGCAGGGAGAAATAGGGCACAGAGCTGATGGAAAGGTGGGTCCCAGCTGCTTTTTTTTTTTTTTTTAATTTATTTTATGTATTTATTTTTTGCTGCAGGTGACCAGGAAGGCCCTGTTTCAAGGGGACTCAGAGATCGATCAGCTCTTCCGGATCTTTCGCACCCTGGGCACTCCCACCGAAGCAACCTGGCCTGGGGTGTCACAGCTGCCTGACTACAAG